CGTTTTTTTCCTTCTCCCAGTGACGGCCGTGCCTCTTTCAGCCCAGCACAGCTCAGTCCAGCCAGCCAGCAGGTGGGCGGGTGGATATTCCAGGGCTTCTTGCCCCCCTTGTCACGAATGCCGGCAGCAGCCCCTCGGGCTGGCTGATCTGGAAGCCACTGTTCCCAGGTTTCTACTCAACCGTGCTTGGTCAAGGCCTCTTTACCTTGCCTGAAGCTGCTAGTCCTGCCCCTCACTCTCCCCTCCCTCACCTGGCCTGAGAAGGGGCTGGGTCCCAGGTCCCTATCTTCCCCCCCTCCCCCACTCTCTGTGTCTGTGTGTATGCTGGTCACGAATGAAGGAGGAGAAGGGTTGCCTGGAGGGACTGGCTGAACAAGGATCACCAGCTGTGCTGGAAGCATCTCATCGATTTCCATTTAAGATTGCTGGTGCCTTCAGCTCCAGCCGTGCAGAGGCAGATGCGCATGTGTGTTTGCCATTCCCACCTACCCACCCCCATCCATGTGCAATGACCCTACTCCCCACAAGGAGGGAGAAGACTGCATTTTTGCTTCAACCCACCCATGTTGCTGAATTTCATCGCCGCCGCCTCCTTGGCGGCAGAGAGATGGGAAGATAGGGAGAGAGGCAGAGAAAGAGAGAGAGAGAGAGATACAGAGGGGGGCAGAGATCCATAGAGAGGGACACAGAAAGGGGGGAGGAGAGAGAGAGGGAAAGAGAGAAAAAGAGAGAGAAAGAGAAAAAGAGCGAATGAGAGAGGAAGGGAGAGAGACGAGAAAGAAAAGAAAGAGAAATGAGAAAGAAAGAAAAAAGAGAAAGGAAGTGAAAGGAAGAAAAGGGATAGACAAAGAAACAGAGAGATGGAAGGAAGGGAAAAAGAAAGAAAGAGAGGGAGGGAGGGAGGGAGGGAGGGAGGAGAATGTGAATGAGATATATGGATGGGTAGATAAATACATGGAGGGAGGGAAAGAGAGAAAAAAGGAGAGGAAGGAAGGACATGAACCCTGGCTTCAGAAGACTCTTTGAAGCAGCACAGCAATCTAGGGCTGGCCTGCAAGGGATCTCGGTGGTCATCTAGTCCAACCCCCTTCTCCTGCAGGAAATCCTTACAGAATCAGAATAGCAGGGTTAGAAGTAAGTGTGTGTGTGTGTGTGTGTGTGTGTGTGTGTGTGTGTGGCTGTCAAAACTCCAAAACAGGTCAAGTAGCTCTGGGGAGATCAGTCATAAATTAGAACACTTGCTAAGCAACCGGCCATTAAGCGAGGACCACTTGTATTTGGTTTGCCAGTCACATGGTCACTTGGCCATGCCCACCCAGTCACATGGCCACAAACCCATGCCCATCTGGTCACATGGCCACAAACCCATGCCCATCTGGTCATGTGACCATAAAGTCATACCCATCTGGTCATGTGACCAAGCCACACCCACCCAGTCACATGACCACCATGATACACCCACAAATTAAGCCATGCCCACAGAACCGGAAGTAAAAAAATTTGAATACCACCACTGTCTGTGATCATATAAAGAGAAACTGTGTTCTCTTTGCCAATGGTGTAAAGCTATTCAACACCACCGACAAAACTTCTACCCTTCAAAAAGACCATGACCGTGTATCAGAATGGTCAAACAAACGGTAACTTCAAATCTCAACAAATAAATGCTCTGTCATATTGGCAAAAAAATCAGAAAATAAAATACAAGCTAAATAATCAAGACCTTGTTGAGGATCCAAACTTTGTCAAGGACCTTGGAATACTCATCTCTAATGATCTAAGTGTTAGCCCACTGTAACTACATAGCCAAAAAGGCATTAAGAGTTGTTAACCTAATCCTCCGTAGCTTTTTCTCCAGTAATATCACACTAACTAGAGCATACAAAACATTTGCTAGACCAATACTTGAATACAGCTCATCAGTCTGGAACCCACATTTATTCATAATTATGTTTATACTTATACCTGTTATCTTATAATCGCTTGACAAAATAAAATAAAAATAATAAAATAACTGAAGCTCTTTTCAAAGCACATGAGATGCAACGGCTTGAATGAAAGCAACTGAAGAACTATAAATAAAACAACTAAAATAAAATGTGTTTTCAATAAACAATTCTTCCTTTTTTTCCCAGTGAATGGAATGAAGATCAAGACAATCCTTGTGAACAGTTTTGAAAATGGGAAAGGTACAGTTTTAATATAACAATACCTAAATATATTCCTTTCCCTCTAAAACGTCTAACTAAAATAATGGAAACCAAAGAAGGCAGTAGGATTCTTTTCATTACAATTATATTCATCCTTGAAATACTAAGAATCTGGATTCTAAATCCTTTTGAATTGATTTTTAGAAATCCACCTGGAAACGAGATAGTTTTGAAATTCTCTCTATTATGGTATATAAGACAAGCTTATTATTTCAGTTCCAGCAAACAGATGATTGACAGAAAGGAAGCTGCAGCTAGAAAACTTAGCAAAAAGGAAGGGAAAACTCTATTATTAGCTAATTTGATGGATATTCAAATCCATATCAAATGATTATTTTGCTACACAGTATGTTCCACTAAAGAACATCCTTGAGTTTTCATATGAGCCTTAAAAATAATTTCTTCTTATAATCCCCTTTCCTTTGAAAAATAAGAGATTTACTGTATTTTTTGGACTATAAGATGCTCCAAAGCATAAGACCCACCTAGCTTTTGGGGAGGAAAAAAAGAAAAAAAAATCTGCCTCTGCCTCCCAGCAATTTGCCTCCTAGCAACAATCAGCAAACATCTTGGTCAGCTTCAACACAGCCTGATTTAGCAAAACAAGTGATTGTCGGTTGGATCAGCCTCCCGACTGTCAGAGTATATTCATGCACTGGAATAGAGCATGGTTACAAGATCAGCCAATGAATAGCATAGCAACTAAGTCAGCCAATGAGGACTGTTTGGAAACTGAACTTAGAAATAACCTAGGTGTGGCTCTATATTACGCTCTGCAGCTCTGAAGCTATGTTAAGCTTATCAATGTCTATTGAAAATGAAACTAACTTGCTTGCTTGCTTGCTGAAAACTAGAGCTCTGCTCTGAATATGTAACATGTCTGCTTCTGTTTGAGTTTGCTCCATGTTGGAGAAATCTACAGCTGGTATTGTAAAATTTACTTAATAAGTTTATAAAGATGTTAAATGAAGCATCAGCCATCTATGTTTACTTTTCTGGTGCTGAATTTATGCTGCAAAACTCTGAACAGGTTCTGGGCCCAGAAAAAAATACTTAAATTGTAATTAAAGCTGAGAGCCTGCCTGTTTTAAAAGTAAGAAACAAGGCAAGAGGCTTTGCAGGATGGCTGAAAAAATTAAAGAGAGCTCTCTAACCTGTTTGGGTCAGAAGAACTATATTATTTGGGCTGCAAAGATGGAATGTTTCTTCAAGGCTAAAGAGCTTTGGAATATTATTGAAAATCCACCCCCGGCATCATTGAATGCTACAGATCTGAAGCTGCATGATAGAGCATTGGCTTATATCATCTTAAGTTTAGAAGATGATCAGTTTATCAATGTAGCTGATTTAAAGACTAAAAGGAAGTCTGGGATAAATTGAGGACTGTTCATGTGAGTGTATCTGCATGCAACATCATACAATTATCAAGAAAGTTATATTTTGTTCATATGCAAACTTTGTCTGTGGAGTTAGAACAGCATGGAATTAGGATTCTGGAATCTCAGAAAGTACTATTAGTTTTGAACAGCTTAAATGAAACTTGGGACATTGTTTCTGCAGTGTTTGAATGCAAACCGGAGCAGGAGTTGCATTTAGAAACTCTTAAAGCTTGTTTATGCTGCAAAACTCTGAACACAGATGATCAGCTGCTTCAGACTGCAGGGATCACCATCACCTATTGCTGCCTCCGTGCACCCCATTTTCAGCCTCTGCATCCCATTTTTGGCCTCCGCACAGCCCATTTTCAACCTCTGTGTACCCCATTTTCAGCCCATTGCAGACAGTGGGGATCAGAACAGGCCAAAAATGGGGCACACGGAGGCCGAAAACGGGATGAAAATAGGGCATTTGGAGGTCAAAACTGGGATGCAGAGGCCAAAAATGGGGCAAACCGAGGCTGCAATAGGTGATGGTGATCCCTGCAGTCTGAAACAGCTGATCGTTGGGAGGCCAATCCAACCAACAATCATCTGGTTGTGCTAAATCAGGTTGTGCTGAAGCTGACCAGGCTGTTTGCTGATTGCTGCAAGGAGCCAAATTGCTAGGAGGCAGAGGCCAAAGGGTGGGGGCCAGCGGGTGGGTGGGGCTTCAGCAACATTTGCTGTATAAGACACACAGACATTTCCACTCACTTTGGGGGTGGGGAAGTATGTCTTATATACCTAAAAATACAGTATATACTATGAAGGTATTGAAATAAATAACAAAAGGCAAAACTGATGTAATGATAGTAAGGCTTTCTATGGAGCATTAATATATAAACACATTTGAGTTTAATCCTATTTTATTTTTTATATGAATGATTTCCAAAACCAGTGCTAAAAAACACTGACACTGTACCTTGAAACGATAAAGTCCCTTAAGTTTCTAAAAAGACTTGAAATGGTATCTGTTATAATCACTTAGAGTGTGTTTTAAAAATGTCAAGCAAGCAATGGAGGAGATAAGATGCTACTATTATCAAGTAACAATCTGTGCTTTATTTTGTGTGATGTTTAAGATTGGAGGGATGACATCTACAGTAGGCTGAAAAAATAGGTGAAGAAACACTTCTTCATTTAGTTGCCATTGGGATTTTGGCCTGCTGATAAAGAATGCTCTTCAAACTTTAAATGGTAGAAAGAGTTGGCCTGGAAAGAAAATCTTGGGATTTCTTGGCCATAAAAAGAAAAGCTGAACAATCTGAAATGAAGGAATTATTTTTGGATTCTCAGAGATGTTTTATCTTTAATCTTGAGAAAGTAGCAGCTATCTAACATTGTACATATTTCAGAGCAGCTGTTAACTTACCTGCTGCAAACAGCATGACAGCAACGGGCCTGTAGAACCTCCTCCGTGATCCCACACAAATAGAAATTAGTCCAACCAAAAAAGCTATAAGAATTATGGCGGCACCACCCAACAGCATAGAAAGAGTAGCAATCTGCCAATCTATAAAGGAAAAGTAACAAGATGGGAGTTTAATTTAGACAATAACTCAAATAAAGAGATCTTCACTGGAACAGAAATAAATAATAAAAAGTATGAAATAAATAAAAGTATTTATTATGTGACAGCAGAACTCTAAACACACTCTTTACAGAGCTTATAAGGTTTTCATTTAAGACTGATATTTGTCTCTTTGACCTACATTCCATAGGGGAAAAATACAATATGATTTCTGCAAATTAATTAATTCTACGTTGGCTGGCCCTAACCAGTGCAGCCCTGAGCTTGTATGGTAGGTTTTTCTATGAAACAGAGAAAATGGCGTCTCCAAAGAAATAAATTTTCAACAACCCAGGGCAAAGTAATTTGAAATTTCAAATCCTTCAACCAGTATGCAATTTGATTTAACCGTATAAATTTTCCCAGCTTTGTTTCAGACTTCAGATGTTTATTTCTGCTCTTATATTCCCATGGAAAAGGCACAAATTAAGAATTACCAGCTTCTGTATTTTTCTGAGTTGTGGAAGTTTCCCCCCACCCACCCCGAGAGCTAGATGAAAATTAACATTAATAACATGCTACCAAATTCTATAATCTCCATTTTGAGACTGATTTTGCATTGCAGACCTCAGGAAACACCTGGACTTGTTATGAATTTTTTTATGTCCTCATTTGCCATTTTTTATAATCTGTTGGCTATTGAAGAATTCAGGAAAAACTCAACAGTTTTATCTACTATTTTGTGCCATTTATTATTATTATATGCATTGTTCAGCTGGGGATTACAATTTCTATAGAAAGGATTTCTTTAGAATTTCTGACATATAATAACATGTTATGACTCCCCTTCAAAATTCCAATGAACAAAACAGAAAGCAGCCGTTTCAAATTAAATCAAACAGAAAGAAGTCTTACAAGATAACGGCTGGCAGGAATCTCAATCCACAGCATAAATCTTTACTCTGTCCAGCAAACCAGTCCTGGCAATAAATCTCCAGTCTCAGAGCTTCTTGCTGTAATGTCCTCACTCAAATAAGTCACTTTGTTCCTGGCAAATTGTACCAGCCCAGCTGTGTCCTTTTATACTCATTGAGGCAACATGCTAATTTACTGACTCGCTCTCCTCATTCGCTCCAGCTGATTTTGCCTTCTCAAACGTCTTCTGTTCCTTACATTTAACCACAAATTTTCCAAGTTCTCATCACTAGAAGACTCTCTCAAAACTTCCCTGTCAGCCATTCCCGGCTGTTGATCAGATAAGGAACCAGAGGAGGTCAAAGATCCTGACAATTCTAATACATCAGGTCTGTCTTCCTTTGTCACGTCCATCTCCTCATCCTGGTTACCAGTCCAATCACTGAGCCATGCCGGCTCATATTTTTCTGCCATGTCCTCCTTACTTGAACTCATATCAGTCACAGGAGCTGAATCCAAGCCCGGAGCCACAACACTATCCCTCACCGCAGGGCCCTTCCCCCAGGTCTGATGATCCGGATGCGGTTTCGAAAGGAAATGTTCATGAAAGTCCCGAATGATGTCTGGAGCATGAACTGCAGATGCATCCGTCCATGAGCAAATTTCCGAGTCATCCACTCTCCTCCCGACTAAATACTGGAAACGACCCTTGAGCCAACGCGAATCAGTAACACTGACCACCGTGTCATCAACCTCCGCCTCCTCACGGGGCATCGATGGGGAAGTCGTACCAGCTGGAGCACGCAGAGGACAGTCTAGGGAGTCAGGAACCAAAAGAGAGCGATGGAATACAGGGTGAATATGCATGGAGCGCAGTAAGGTGAGCCGGTATGCCACAGGGTTGATAACCGCCTCAATCAGGAATGGACTAATGAAACGATGGTCCAATTTCCTAATTGGGCAATCGATCCGAAGATGTTTTGTGGATAACCACACCTTGTCACCCACAGCTAACGGAGGCAGTGTTCGATGTGACTGGTCCGCAAACCGTTTATAGTCCTCTTTTGCTCGTTCAAGTTGTTGCCTGACTAAACGGTGGACCACTTGTAGTTCCTCCAGAAAATCTTGTGTCTCAGGAACCGGTGAATCCATCCAAGTTAATGGGAAGAAGTGCGGATGATAACCTACATTCGTGAAAAATGGCGTTACTCGAGTGGAGGTGTGCTGCGAGTTATTAAAAGCGAATTCTGCCAATGGGAGGTATTTCGCCCAATCGCTTTGTCGCTGATTAACAAAACACCTCAAATATTGGGTAAGAATGCCAATCACCTTCTCAGTCCCGCCATCAGTTTCTGGATGGTGCGCTGACGCTAAGCACACCTGAACTTGTAGCGCTGCCATTAACTGTTTCCAAAACTGCGCAGTAAACTGAACTCCACGATCAGAAACCACTCTATCTGGCAGTCCATGCAGATGAAAGATATGCTGTAAAAATAGCTGAGCCGTAGTGCGGGATGAAGGTAATCTCCGACAGGGAATGAAATGAGCCATTTTAGTCAGCATATCAACTATCACGAGCACCGTCGTGAAGCCCGACGAGGATGGTAAATGCATGAGAAAGTCCATGGAGATCGCTCCCCATGGTCTGCCTGGAGTCGGTAATGGTTGGAGGAGTCCAGGGGGTGCACACGACGCCGCTTTCGCTTGCCTACACTGGACGCAAGAAGCGACGTAAGAGAACACATCATGACGAACCCGAGGCCACCAAAAAGTCCGGGTGACCAAATGCAAGGTTTTATAAAATCCAAAATGGCCAGCAGCGGGGTTATCATGACATTGTTAAAATTCTCGGTAGCGTGGGTTGTGCACGAGAAAATGAAGATGGTTCCATAACAAGCCGTTTGCGTCCACGTTGCTGTAAACGAGCTTCAATTCGTAAGCACTGAACTATCAATGCATCCAAAGTTAAA